TAATAATAATAATAGATTGTCTTTATATAGCGCCCTTCCTCATACAGGCACATGTATAAACTCTGCCACACAGATGCACAGTAGATACAGAAAAACAGGATTACCTAGAGACAAAAGAAACAATCATTTACAGAAGACTGATCTACCGAGAGATAAAAGAAAAGGGAACAATATTTCACAGGAAACTGAATGATATAGAAATTAGAGTGAAAACATTATAGGGCCTACGCAGAAAATCGTCATTAGGCCTTTCTGAAACAAAAACAACAATCTGGGTGCTTATATTATACAAGTATGACCTATTCGTGTTACAAGTACCATAAAACTCTTCCTAAAGTTAAAGAAAAATAAATATTATAGATATGCGAGTGCGAGTGATTGGTGGTTAAGATAGTCAAATTCTAGTAACTGTCGTGTCTTGTTTGTTTCACTCTGTGCATGATTTGATAGTGTTGTTATCGCGATGACTTACAATAAAGGACAGCTCAAAAACAAATGTGTAACTAATGAATAAAACATTTAAAATTTGAATAGGGTCAGGTTGTAACATATCAAGGGACGCAACTGCATAAAACAAAATCCCAACCCTGCAGGTTCGAAGAGTTATGTACCCTTTACTTTAAATTAAGCACTTGGGGGGAACCATCCTTGAAATAGAGACTCAAATAAGCAAACGAAATATTCATACTGTTAATAATTATAACAGAAAAAAAAGAGATAAAAGACAACACAATGGTGGTATCAGATGCATTTCACTGAACTGATTAATAAATGGAAACTTATTCAAACAAACAGACAGACAAAAAGACAGACAGACAGACCGACAGATACTCACACGACCATATCATGCATGTCTCCACATAGCGGGAAAAAGAGTGTTGCATCGGGGTTGCCAGAAGTGTAAAACTCGTAATGTTCCTGGATTTTCCTGGAAAAAAATCAAACATCATATATAAAGTAGTTATATTGCATGATTCCAAATGCTGGTCTCTTAAAATCTTAAGAATAAACATGAAATTGTCAACGAGTGTTACATAATCAAAAAGAATTATGATTACGATTTCATGGAAATTCAACGTCCTCTTGTACAGAAAGTTAGTACTTTCGACGGATGGAAACTAACTTCCTAGAGAGAATAAGGACGACAAGGAATAATTTTTAGAATTATTATAAGGTGGATGGGAAAATTCAAACGTCTTTCGGAATCAAACGCTGAACTTTTGTGGCGGATTGGTTGGTTAAGTTCTAGGCACTCGGGAGTGAAGGGTAATGAGGAGGCTGACAGGCTGGAGGGCAGTACGGTTGATGGTGAAGTGGAATTTGACAAAGAAAAAGTATATTGAAGACCCTGGAGGAAAAGTTGCGGGATGAGGAAGACAGGGAGAGAGCACAACACCACACAATCATCAGGAAGTGGGAAATGGGGATAGAGAGGGGAGAAGGAAGAAAGGAACAATTATCTGGAAAGGAAAGACGTCGCCATAATCAAACAGCCACTGGAACAATCAGTACGGATACCTTGCGAACTTTGGTGCAGAGAGGAACTGAGCACTTATGGACCTGTCCGGTGTGCAATGACGTTGTTGCCCAGGACAGGTAATACAGGTAAATACAGATGGTTAAATTCGAAAATGATTGCATCATAATAATAGCGGTCGTCACGGAAGAGTCTAGCTGATGATGAGGATGCTGTTGTCATTGTTATTATTGTTGACGATAATGTTTTTATCATTGTTACTGTTGTTGATGATAATGTTGTTATCATTGTATTGTTGTTGATGAGAATGTTGTTATCATTGTTATTGTTGTTGACGATAATGTTGTTATCATTGTTATTGTTGTTGACGATAATGTTGTTATCATTGTTATTGTTGTTGTTGAGGATGTTGTTGTCATTGTTATGGTTTTTGATGATGATGTTATTATTATTGTTGTTATTTTCGTTGAAGTCGATCTCGACATTACTGTCGTTACTGTTGTAACATAGCCTTACGTGTGGGTGGTTGACGGGTGCTCTGGTGTCGTTTGCTCCTTTTTTCCTATCAATCAAACATTCACCGTCCTCGTCTCTCCTCTTTTTATTTGTATGTAACTATCTAGTAGCACCTCTAATCTTCGGCACTTACATGACCTAATTGTGCTGCAAGTGCGGTAAAACTTTTACTAAACTATAGTGCGGTCAAAACTTCGTGGCGCAACTTACTGTCAAATATCTCAACTATTGAACTAAGGTTCTCAAACTTTCGAATATTGACTTGTACCAATTTGTCTTAATAGATCAACATTTTATAAACACCTGCTAGCTGTATTCTAGAAAATGTCTTATTAAATACTAACAGAAAATCCAAATAGGTGATTTCTACAGATATAGCTGGGGCAATAATATCGCTTTTAAAGACAAGTCCGATATTTCTTTTTCTAATCGAGACATTATATGATTATGCTTATTGAACGCATGATTTGAGAACCCGTATGGCACCTCACCAGCTTGTCAGTAAAGCCTACTAAAAGAAAGTAACAAGGTACCCAGAAAGACCTGGATCCAGGGTGTAAAGGATACCGAGAACATACAATATCCCACCCAGCCAGGCCATCAAACTTGCTAGAGACAGGGAGCTCTTTCTTCCCTCGACGCCCTAGAGGAACAAGAGGACGGATAAAGTAAAGTAAGCAAAGTAAGATTTGAGAACCTTTAGTGCAAACAACGTGCTCACTATAAATAGACTCACGGGTGAGGCTTGTTGACCTGGAACTCGGACATGCCTCCATTGTCCCACATGTCCAGCCACACGCCCATACGTCCGTCACTGGACTCTCCTTCCTTGGACATCTTGGTGGACCCTACAAGCTGTGGACATTGAAAATGATGAGGTGGGAGGGCGAGGAAGGCAGGG